TTCGAGGTGAGTAATGATTGTAAATGATGTTCAGAGGGTTTGAAACCCCGGATTGCACATCGTAGTGCTATATTGAGGTGACGCACATGCTCGATGACGAGCGTGGGGTCGTGTACTATTGGGGATTGTGACTTGGTCCGTCCCGATTGAAGATTTTACCGCGTATTTGACTGAAATCTATTTGATATCATGATTATTTGGGCTGAATGCCATATTTGGGCTTCGTGCCAATTATTTGAACCCTTCGGGAATTTTTGTTGATATTTCCTCACTGTTTTGACTTTATACTTGAACTCAGTCATGTTATTTCCACTGTTTTCAAAACTCAGCCATGTTCACTCAGTTTTAATACTCAAATGATATTTACATGATGTTTTGGGCTGAGAAACAATGTTTTACTGTTGCCCGAGAGGCTCATGTGATTTTGACTGAGTAAGGCCGAGGGCCTGTGTTGTGAGGATATGTTTTGGGTCGGGATGCACGCCGCAGTGGTGATACACTGATTTTGATTATGAGGCCGAGGGCCTGAGATTGTACGCCACGAGGTGGCTTTATATTGATTATGAGGCCGAGGGCCTGAGATTGTACGCCACGAGGTGGCTTGATATTGATATGAGGCCAAGAGCCTGTTTATGATGCCACGAGATGGCTTGATATTGTGCTTGGGCCGTAAGGGGCCCCTCCAGGAGTCTGCACACCCCCAGTGAGCGCTGGTACCCATTGTGATGTGAGATATAGCCCGAGGGGCTGGTATTGTTTTATGTGATTGCCCGAGGGCTGGTATTGATATGAGATATTGCCCGAGGGGCGGAGTTGTTGAGTTGTAGCCCGAGGGGCGAACCTTTACGTGTTTATCTGTTTATTTACCTGTCATTTACCTGTTTAGTTGTGTAACTATGCCCGAGGGGCGGATTCTCTATGCTTATCTGTTCTTGTTGTTTTGCATTCAATTGCTTAACTGTTGAAAAGCCATTTTTGAAGAAGTTTTAAACTGAGTTAAGATGCTTTAAGAGATTTCACAGCTTCATTGCTTTCTTACTGGTTTTGTACTACTTCTATACAGCATGCTGATGCACTTTTCTTGATCTCTTATCACTCAGTCTTTATTTATGGTTATTACTCACTGAGTCGGAGTACTCATTTTACTCCCTGCACCTTGTGTGCAGATTTAGGTATTTTCTGAACCCAGTAGCGGGTATTGGTTGATCGAAGGCAGAGTCATCGGAGTTTAGCAAGGTAGCTGCTGGCGTTCGCAGCACTGCTTTTCTCCCTCTTTATTCTATTAGTCCGTACTTAGTACATTTCAGACTTTGCTAGTTGTATTTAGACCTTAGTAGATGCTCATGACTAGTGGCACCGCGGTTTGGGCTGTGTTTGGGTTGTACTTCTGCAATGTTATGATATTATGTGCTACTTAGTATTATTAAATCATGTTTTAGTCTGTTTTATTGCCGTTTAGCTGTTTAACTTCGAATTGAAAATGTGTCGGCTGGCCTTGTCTTCACGAGAGGCGCCATCACGATCGGGTCTGGGTTTAGGGTCGTGACACTAACACCCCAATTGTTCATCAAAAGGTTATTATAAGCCCAATAAAGAGTAAAAATACAAATGTTACATAATAGTGAGGATAAGACTACAACAGGCCTAAATAAAAATACACAGCATTGCCTGGCCTTCAATAACTTTTACATACCGTACCCAGGCCTTCAACAATGAGCCACTTTCAATACACGACTCAGGGATCCATAGATGAGTCCAGAACCAAATTACCCAAACAAAGCACTAAGCGTTGCACCATTTAAATCAGCCAATTTAGGTACACAGCAGATAACATGGGAAGTAGAGTGAATAGGAACAATTTGAGATTGAGGGAGTGACTAAGGACCAAGCCCTAGTGTGTTAGAGTTCACAAGGGTCTCAATTGGACCCCGAGCAATGCTCACACTAGGCAGGCCAACAATGGAACTTAGGTAGCCTTGGATTTCAGCCGACTAAGAATGAAGAGTTCAAAATAACATAAGTTGCAAGTAAGGAGAGTGGACAGAAGTTAAGGGATACATTTATATCCTAAGGTAGACATAGCCAAACTGAGCATACAGAGTAACTAATCAAATAGGCCAGTAGGTTCAGCAGGATAGCAAAGTAACACATAGATAGCCTCACATTGAACGAAATTGGGGGAAAAACAGGCTTGCAAGTCATACATAGATTATCATCCATGACACTAAACCAATTGAGGCCTAAGAGGTTCAGATTAAGCTAAGCATGCATCCTAGGGTCATGCTAATCAGTATTTAGACACGATGGGGACACACATTGTAATAAACACTGGGAAAAATAGGGTATCAAGCGAACAAAGTCCAGACTAGAAACATAGCAGCATAGAAGCAAGATCATAATTGATAAAAAATGGTTTTAACACAACTTACGACATATTGTACATGTAAGACAGACATTGTAGAGATTCAGGACAATGTGAGATAGCAAGCACATGTAGGTATTCTGGGATTGATACAATAGACTAGAATATCTAAGTTAGGTTCAAACAGGGTAGAGAGATTGAGTTAGGATAACTGTCAAGATATCAATCCATTATTAATGGGGTATGGGGGTCATGTTGAGTGACGAAATAGCAGGTGAACATGTCACAATTAACACAGAAGATCTAGCATTTACTATAGAGATTAAAGACAAAGCAAATAAGCATATATTAGGGAAATATCCAGACACACATACGCTTAAGAGGATCAAATTATCCAAGTTAGGCTTAGGCAAACTCAGAACTAGTAGCATTAAGAGGAAATCAGATGCTAACAGACTTAGAACAAGGTAGAGTTAACAAAATCATGCACAAAAATAATCTAGAAAACGCATTTAAGCCAGGAACTTCAGAGGTGATTTTAACACATGCAAATCCTGGAAACATAGGGATGAAATTGCAAGAATCAAGTAACTTACCAGTTAATCGGACAACAATAAAGAGCAAAATATCCACAAGAACCCGAAAACCTCGATGCATCAAAGTTCCCAAGAGCTTCAAAAGAACCTCGGGCAATACTCGTACCAAGAACAAGTTAAGTGACAAGATGCTAATGACCTTGGCTTTCAGCCGGCCAGTACAGAATACCAAGCAAGAGAATAGCAAAAACCCCAAATTTTAGTAAAATTCGATTTCAAAGTCTCTCAAAAGAGGAAAAGGAGGGGGTTTCTGTAGTAGTCAAAAATCGAGCAAACATTTAAGGAAACAGAATAATTTAAACAACAAACAAGGAAAAGAACATGCAAATCGATTTGAAATCAATTTAAGAGAAAAATTTGTAAATCCTAGTTTTTTAGGGAAGTGTAAATCAGCAGAATCCAAGCAAAATCGGACTCACACAATGTAGTATTGAACATATATAGATGAAATAATGCTCAAAATCAAAGATTTGAACCACTTTGGTTGGATTTCAGAAGATATTGCTTGCCATGTTTAGGCAAACACCTAGGTAACACCACAAACGGACACAACCAGTAGTGAGAGGAGACCAATAAGGTAAGGGAACCAGTGATTGATTCCATCTTAGGGTCGGATTCGGAGAGATTGAGATGCAGCGGCTAGGGTTCGTAGGAGAGGAGAGTGGAGAGTGTTTGAAGGCGACTGGCAAAAATAAATGATAGGGTTAGGGGTGGGTTAGGTCAATTAAAAATAGAGAATGAACAATGGTTGTTGATCTTGAGAGATCAGCGGCCATGATTTAAAAAACGAGTGGGGGCGAGTCAAATATAACGGGTACCGACCGGGTTTGGGTTAAGGGGTTGTTTGGTCTGGGTTGGGACTATTGGGCTAAGGTATTGAGCTAATTTTGGTCCAAAAATTAGTTAAACATTGGTTTGTTATTTAAATACCCAAAATTTAGCAAAAATGATTTATAAAAAATGCTTAATAGATAAATCAAAATATTATTTATACCTGAGATGCTTGAAATAATAACTTTGTATTATAAAAAACATAAAAAATGCTATTTGGCATAAATAACATAAATAGAGAGCCTTTATATGTGAATATAGGCTATTATTGTAGAATTAGATAAATAGCTTAAAAATGCTAACGTAATTGCATGAAATAAAATAAAAATATTTAAGACATATATTATAGGTGGAAAATAATAATTTAGGTAACTAAGTCATCACAAAATAATTTAAAGGGATAATTAATAAATATTTATATAATTTAAATGCAAGAAAATTAATTTAAGAGCTCTAAAAAATATGAAAAATTATAGGAAATACTTGTATAGATTTGTAAACTAAATAATGATGCATAAATGCTATTTTGAAGGCATGTAAATATTATGAAAAATATGAGGACAAAATTGGGTATCAACAAAGGGCGTGTCCGGATTGTGTTTTTGAGGTCCGTAGCTCATTTAGGCTTGAAATGGCGAAAGTCGAATTTTTGGAGTTTTGGGCCGGTAGTGGAATTTTTTATATCGGGGCCGGGATCCGATTTTGAAAGTTGGAGTAGGTCCGTAGTGTTGAATATGACTTGTGTGCAAAACTTGAGGGGCAAGCGGACGTGGTTTAAAAGGTTTCGGCATCGTTTGTGGAAATTTGAAGTTTCAAGTTCATTAAGTTTGGATCGGAGAGTGATTTGTTGTAACGACCCGACTGGTCATTTTGAGTAATTGCGCCCGATTCGGTAGTTTGAGGTCTCGAGCAGCTTCACATTATGTATATCGACTTGTGTGCATGGTTGGATTCAGTTTCCGGATGAATCATAGTTGAATTGGAAGAAGGAATCTAGTTTGGAAACTTAAGCGGTGAGAGTTGACCAAGGTTTGACTTTTGGGTAAACGGACTGAGAATTGGGTTTTTATTATTTCAATAGGTTCATATGTTAATTTTGGAGTTATGCATATATTTGGATTTGGTTACGGAGGTGTCCAACCGAGTGGCAGCAGAACACTACCCTTAGTCAAAACGCAACCAAACGACATTTAGAGTTATTTTACTATCGTTTTTCAAATGAAGCAATCTGAAAATATTTGGATTATCCTGATGCCTTCCTTGTGTGGTTCATTGGTCTCACTCACTTTTCCAAAACAAAACCCCTTATGCCAATCAATAACGCTGCTACTTGAAACCTCAATCGTCCTTCATACTGTGCTTATCTAATCAAAGGGCTCCTTGTCTAGATTTATTGTAAAAGATTGTAGATTGCAGTCTTTAGAGAACTTCACATACCGAGTTAGGGATTTTCTGCTCGAAGGACTTCCGCCCATTTTAGTATGTTCCACATTTCTTTTCTTATTTCTTTAGTGTTCTGTTCATTAATTTGGGTTATTAGTTGCAATTTTGTTCATGTTGAGTATTTATACTATTATTTAGGAGTCATCATTGGCCAGTAGTGGATTTTGAGCATTTACTTGAAACCTTCTTTTATTAAGCCTAATAGTCATACTGAATATCCAGTTTAAGGTATAAGGAGTGGGCTTAGTGGTTATGAGAGTGGAAGATGTAATTTACTTTTAAATAAGAACCAAATTTCAGATGTTGCTTTCCTATTTCAATTCCTCATTTGTTGGAATCACTTCACTGTGGAATTCAAAAAAAAATATCTTGCAAGGCAGCAACAAATGTGTCAATACAAAAGAAATAATTGATAATTTGACCACTCTTTTTCCTCTCTAGGTTATATTAGGTACAATCCTTGGCATCTATAAACAAATTCGTGGTCATTTGGTTAGAAACAGACCTGTGCACTCTTGGCTTGGGATTTCTAATGCTTTCGTTGGTTTAACACTAGCATTTGAGGACTTCTGACGACGTTCAAGGAACCCATGGACTGTTGGTGTTGGATTTCTGGCTCATTACTTCATCGAACCACTTTTAGGCTTTGCAATAACGATGATTTGAGCTGTGTAGAGGCAAATTGTAGAGGAAAAGCTATTTTCAAAGGCTTAGTTGGCCATGTTGAGGTAAGTATCTTGCCTAACCTTGTGTGGGGGACCTCCCCTTAGGAATTGAGCCTTCTATGCTAATTGTAGTCCATGCATGCGAGGTGACGAGTGTGTGCTCGGACTTATTTGTGGAAAATTTGCCTATAAGGTTCTTAGGTCCTTATGTGGAAAGTATCCTGTTATAATTGGGCTTCCTAGTTGCTTAAATTGCCCCTATATGCTCCATATGACATTGCTAGCTTTCCCTAATTGTTACGTGTTACATTGACCCTAAATTGCATTAATTGAAGTGATTGTCTTCCTTATTATTTTGGTACTTCTTGGTTGTGATTTCCTCTATGACATCGTGCAAATAGGTTACATGTCCAATTGTTGTGGTTGCCGGTGTAGTTATCACTTGCTTATTACATCTTGTTGTGTAGTGGGGGTTTCATTGTGAAGTTAATTGTTGGCATAAGTTTGGTTATAGCTGGTTCCCTTGCCGGGACACATTTAATTCTTACTGTTGATTTCCTTGCCGTGATGTGTTTATTCTTGTTATTGTTCCCTTGCCGGGATATTGTTGTCTTCTTATTATTTCCTTGCCGGTATTCTTTTATAATTGATGATAAGAAAATGAAATGGGAGCGGGTGGTACGCCTACCACAAGATATAATGAAATGGGAGCGGGTGGTACGCCTACCACAAGATATAATGAAATGGGAGCGGGTGGTACGCCTACCACAAGATATAATGAAATGGGAGCGGGTGGTACGCCTACCACAAGATATAATGAAATGGGAGCGGGTGGTACACCTACCACAAGTTAAGTGAAATGGGAGCGGGTGGCACGCCTGCCACGAGATAAATAAGATGAAAGTAAAACTCTGTGTTTGGTATTCTTATCCTTGTTAATGATTGGATTTTTGGTGTCGTGCACCTTAGGTTTGCTATGTTTAGTTGTTGTTGTTGTCAATTCAAATGTTTAAACTGTTTAATTCTTTAATTGCTGTGATCCTTTGTGTTAGAACCCACAATGTTTTCAATACCTCACCGTATATATATATATATATATATATATATATATATATATATATATATATATATATATATATATTTATTTATACGTTCCAATGCTTCAAACTTCAATAATTGTTACATCCTTAATTCAATTAGTTTCTCAATTATATCCCCTTGAACCGTCGTAGGTTGTATTTTACTTAAAAAGGAATTTCTACTAAGTATTAAGTTTTCAACTCCGCTATTAAAGGTAATAATTCTTCCGATATTGTATTTTAAATTTAAAGGGGTATTTTCTTAAGAGAATGATTTCTAAAAATAACTTCATCTTTTCTCGCTGATTTTTCCAAACTTATTTAGAAATTTAAATTTAATTTATATTATGCAAATAGGACTTCTTGAACATCTTAAGTGCATTTGTAAGGACATTTGGTACTGTATATCATGGGGTTTTTGTTGTTAAGAGTGTGATGGAAAATATGTGGGCACGAGGTGCCATATGTGCTGAAAGTTCGAAAGTTGAGATTACGATATGAGAAATCGAGGATTGAAATGGTCGAGATGGTGTATTTAACTTGATGGGATTGATTGAGTGACATTGTTGTCTTTAGTTGGATACATTCTTACTTGTCTTTGTCTCTGCTATATCAGTGATGAATTGTTTGGTTTATCTGATTTACGTGATTTCCGTTCGTTATTATCCGTGTTCTCCCTTTATTGTTTATGCTGTTTGTACTTGGATTTTCTCTCCGCAGTTGATATTACTTCGTTATCTTTATCTTAATGTTTATTATCATATCTTATTAATTTTAATTGACCAGTAGGTGTCCTGACTGTTCCTCGTCACTACCCCACCGAGGTTAGTCTTGATACTTACTGGGCACCGCCGTGGTGTGCTCATACTACAATTCTGTACATTTTTTTGTGTACAGATCCAGGTATTGATCGATAGTAGCTGTGCGGGTCATCGCAGTGGAGACTCACTGTAACCTGCTGCTGCGTTCGCAGGTCTCGGAGTCACCTTCATTTGTAATTACTTTTATTTGCTCTATTGTTTCGGGGCAGAGATGTCTTATTTTGTATAATTACTCTTAGATGGGTTTGTGACTTGTACCACCGATTTTGGGAAATTTTGGAATTATTCAGAATAATGTAATTTAAAGTAGTAAGCATAGATGATTCAATTTATGTTAGGCTTACCTAGTTTTGAGACTAGGTGCCATCACGACTTCTTCGGAGGGATTTTTGGGTCGTGACATTTGAGCTTTTAGCGTTGTTTGATGTGGTTTGAAGGCTCGACTAAGTTCGTATGGTATTTTAGGATTGGGTGGTATGTTTGGTTGAGGTCCCGGGGGCCTCGGGTTGATTTCGGGTGATTGACGGAACAAGTTGTGAAGTTTGAAGGCTTGCTGAAGTTGGACTCAGCTGGTGTAATCGCATCTGCGGAGTGGAAACCGCAGGTGCGTGTCTGCAGAAGTAAAAAAGGAGCCGCAGATGCGGCCATGAAGGAGTTAGGCAGAATCCGCAGGTGCGATGGTTTTCCGCACCTACGTTAGTCGAAGATTCGACTTGTTTGCCGCAGGTGCGTGTGCTGGGTTTCAAGTGAAAATCGCAGGTGCGACATTTTTCTCACAAAAGAGGGACCGCAGAAGCGGAAATATGACCGCAAATGCGGTTTGACTGGCAGAGAAAGGGCAAAATCAAGGGTTTGATTCATTTCACCATTTTTGGACTTGGGAGCTCGGGATTTGGCGATTCATTGAGGGATTTTCAGAGGGAGCTTTGGCTCATTTCATGGGCTCATCGTTCAGTCCCCGGTTGCGGAGATTTTTTCTTAATACTGTCGACCTGTTCTGAGCCGTTTATGTTATTTGTAGTACCGTACAGCTTAGAGGGCTTTGCTCGGTCGTTGCTTGCGAGGTGGTATGGTATGGAACATTTTCCCGACATGTTTGGAGGTGTTCGTTCCTTGTTCGCGTACCTGTGAGAATGCTCGTGTTCCTGTTATGAACCAAAAAGAGAGCGTGATAAGTTAAACCCAAACAAAATTGCTTGTTACCTTGGCCTGGTAAGTCGGTGAAAGGGGGAAAGGCATTGCAGGGTAACTTGTTTCGCCCCGTGCTTAAATGGCAGTTTCAGATTTGGCAGCCGTGTTTGGCTTCGCCGTTAGTCGCGTCTAGGTTTCTCGTGGGTTGGACTTACCTTGCTCGTTAGGATATTGAGACCGAGTCCAGGTTCAGTCCCGTGCGATATGCCCAAACAATAAGGGAAACATGTCATACTTAGTTCATAAATTGCATAGTGCTTGTGGGTACGAAAATAAGGCAGGATATGCCCGTTATTTCAAAGAATCGTACTACAGGCTATCGTTCCCTCCTAAGAGGTGGGAGTACATACCTGTATATAATGCGAATACGTCAAATAGGATTACAGTCAAGCTAAGTGCATAACTTTGCTATGGATGTGGGTTTTGCATAGACATCGGACATAACTTTGATTTCATGTAGAGATCTGACCTAGATTGGTTCGGTTATCTCAAAACTTTTTCGAGTTGGTGTTTATACCGAGATGGTGAGGCTATGACAGCCTAGAGGTGATACTTGACTGGTTTTAGATCTAAAGGAAACTAAAAATTTAGCTAAGAAATCCCCACAGACGGCGCCAAATTATTTGACCAAAAAGTGTTAAACTCTTTGTTAAACTAATTAATGATAAAATAGAGGATAAATCTTAGCCAAGGATAATTAACTCTAGATATAAGTGCATTGAATTATAGAATTAGATTTAATCAAACTTATAGCCTGATTTAAGATCATTAAAAGACATCAAGTATAAATAATAAGCTTACATCTTTGGCGTATCGTTCCATAATGTACAAGCAAAGAGGAAAAAGAAGGAATGCCATTGATAACTATGAGATTTATCTTTATTGATTTAGCAATGAAGATTACAAAGCTTTGCAACAAAGATCTAGACTTTTGCTTTATTGTTGTTCCCCCCCCTCCCCCTCCCCCCCCACCTCTCATGTTCTTCTGTTCCTTTCATTTTTGACGACTCGATCTCGACAGTGGCGGAGATACTTGTTATTATTACGCCTTGCGGGCACGACCACGGCTCAGTCAACTCCTTATCATTCCTATTAGCACTAATCCACATGTGGTCAGATTTTGACCCATACATATTGGATAACCAAAAACTGGAAAAACCTATTCGATTTACTGATCTAGAAAACAAAATTGAACAGAGCATATTAAAAATATCGAATCGATCCAACTGATCAATACGACTCCAGTAGATATAAATACAACTGATATCCACGTAAAGAGAAAAAAGTGTTAAATAAGGTACTCCCTCTATTAACCCTATTTCTTTTTTGATCCGTTCCAAAGAAATGACTCCTTTCTAAATTTGGTAACAATTTAGCTTAAACTTACAATTCTACCCTTAATGAGAAGCTTTTATAACCACACAAATACTATGGCCCCCTTTTTAACTTGTCTAGGACAACAAATTCCAAAAGTCTTATTTTTTCTTAAATTCCGTGCCCACTGCCCAGTCAAACAGGTTCACATAAATTGGAACGGAAAGGTATAATCTAACCAAAGGTGGAAACACCGAACCGAATGAAGCTTATAGAGAATGACATTTGCTTAAAAGATAAAGAATGATAAAAAACACGAACTGAAACGAGGAGGAATCAAACTGAACCACACCACAAGCAAACTGGAAGAGGAAGAACCGAACCGAACCGAACCAAACTGCACAACAGGCAAACTGAAAAAAAAAAGGAACCAAACCAAACCGCCACAGGCTACCTGGAACAAGGAATAATCGAACCAAACCAAAACACATAACGGGCTAACTACAAAAAGGAAGAATCGAACAACAAGCTAACTGAAAAAGGAATAACGGAACCAAACCGCACGAAAGGTTAACTGCAAAAAGGATAATCGAACCGAACAACGGGCTAACTGCAAAAAAGGAATTACCGAACCAAACTAAACCGCATAACAAGCTAACCACAAAAAGGAATAGCCGAACCAAACCAAGCCGCACAACAGGCTAACCACAAAAAGGAATAACCGAACAAACGACAAAACATGCAAACTGAAAAAAAGGTATAACCAAACCGAATCAGACCGCAAAACAGGCCAGCTGAAAAAGGAATAACCAAATCGAACCAAACCGCAAAATAGGCTAGCTGAAAAAGGAATAACCCAATCGAATCAAACAGCACAACAGGCTAACAATAAAAGGAATAACCGAAAGGAACCAGGCAGCAGAACAGGCTAACTGGAAAAAGGAAAACCAAACCACTTAACAGGCTAACTAAAAACGGAATAACCGAATCAAACCAAACCGCACAACCGAACCAAACCACACAACAGGCTAATTTAAAAAAGGAAAATCGAACCAAACAGCACCAGGTGACCACAGGTTAACTGAAAAGAGGAAGAACCGCACCAAACCGCACCACAGGTTCCCAATCTAGAAAGCAAAAGCGAAAGAGCAATCAAAAATTGAAAGGAAAAATATGGAACCGACTGAGAAATGCCCTTCCTAAAATTCAAAACAATGATTGACATGGCCAGTTGACATCCATGTAGACCAGAAAAAGAATGCTAGCAACACGTTCTGAAAAGAGGAAGAACTGAACCGAATTTATCTAATTCGGTTACCAGGAGAGGCTGCTCGAGATCAAATTGCAGTTTTTCCAAAAGAAAAACCGTACAGCGTTTTTTTTTCTTTGAACCGAGTTCAAAAGAATCAAACTGAACCGACTGATCCATGCAACATTTTAGTACTTCCATAGACGGATATCCAGTAAAAGAAAAAGTTGAAGGCATTGGCAAAACAATGCTTTCAGTATTGACACAGACGACTGACATCTATGCAAAAGACAAAAAACATTGAAAAGAGGAAGAACGAACCGAACTAGAAACAAATGCCGGTTCGGTCAAGGTTTGCTGAAAACAAAACCAATAAATTTTTTAAATAATATAACCGAACCAAATATCAACAGAAAAGATAAAAAACAGAAATCGAACGACTGATGAGTACTCCAACCTGGGTTTATACAAGGGATCTTTTACACAACCTCTTGTTCTTTTTCCCTTTTTTTAGGTGTGTGTGGTGGTCATCTCATATCATCTCATCTCTCTCTCTCTTTTCTTTTACATGTTAAATATCTAAATTGGCGTTCTTAAAGAAAGGTGTATGTTTTTATCTTAGGAATTTGATGTTTAAAGATCCAATTCTCATCTTAGTTTACTTCACATAATTGTAATAGAATATTTACTGCTTCGTCCCATATTTTCCCAAAGGTTAAACTGGCTTAGTTGAAAATCATTTAGGACCAAATTGTACAAAGTTTATGACAAAGATTATTTCAGCAGGCAGAGGGTTCCCACATTTACAGGGAGCAAAACCGTATCACTGGACTCGCTAAGTATAGCACAACTATGGAGATAGAAAATGCCACACATCTGATTGCTCAACCATCATCCTTTTTAGTAGATCAACTACTAGCAGATCAAGCAAGACTACTGTGAGCACGTGATTTTTGCCATATATGAATTATTCCCGTAAATTCAAAATAAAATAATTTTTCCATTATTTGCAATTTTGTGAATTTTTGTGGTATTATCTGTCAAGTGTTCGCATTTGTCTATGCATGTTAATTTTGTTTAATTAATGAAAAATACCAAAAATGTGTTGCATGTGCATTTAGGATTTAACTTTGCATTTTAAGAATTAATTAGTAATTAAGTTATTTTATAAAAAGGAAAATCACAAAAATAGTTTATTTTTGCACTTTTTAATTTTAATTTTGAACATTGGTAGTTTTTCCTTTAATTGTGGTAATTATTAGTTAGAGTTAGTTAATTCAATAAGGTAGGGATAATTTGTATTAGAATTTAATTTAGGTTTCAATTTTGAAAAAAAAAAAGAAAAAAAGAAGAGAAAACAATTGAAAAAAAAAGGAAAGGGAAAAGGAATGTGTTTTTAAAAAAAAACCCACTTAGGCCAAGTCCAACAAGAAATAACCCCATGCCCAACCCCCCTTGCTTCTCATTAACCGCCCAGCCCAAGATTTAGACCCAAATATCCGCCCCAGAACCCGTCCAATTACCCGATCCGTTCCCGTTAAGCCCAAACGACACCGTTTAATTTAAAACAAATCTGAG